AATTTCAATGAAACAGAAGATTTTTCTCATATATTAATAATATGTTACTTTTATTCAACTTTGTATGTAGGCAATTTCTTTTTAAAATAAAATAATATTTGATAAAATATAAAAAATAGAAGTTGCCATAGCAATACTCATTTCAAATATGTTACTTTAGATTACGCGCTTTCTATGAAAAAAATTACATCACAATTTCTTAGAACGCGAAAGATATTAACTGCGTTATACGGGAGTCTACTGTACACGATATCGAATCATCGTTAAATCGTGAATCTCGCAAGAAAGTGTCTGTTTCAAGAACTTAAATGTAAAATCGTCTGTTGCGGCAGGAACGATTAGGAGATTTTTAGAACAGTACGGCGATTCTATCACGTGTATCGTGTTCGTCCTGGAACCGTGCGACCTCGGGATCTACGAAGTCCTACTACCACTTTATTTTCCAAGGAATCTGGCAGAGCAGGACAACGCTTGCTGGCAGCTGCCGAACGATATAGGCGGAATGGACGGCGAACCGTTGCTTCCCGATCGACAAATTAGAATCATCGACAATCCTCAACACGCTTTACACGGTAACAGAACGAAACAGCCTTGAATGTACCGAGAACGTGTCCTCGTTTCTTTTATACATTTTCGGTTCGTTTGTTATAGGCGACGAAAGCGTGGAACTGTCCACGCAGTTAGAAACGTCTGTGAGTATCGGCGAGCACGCGTTCGCACAGATGCAGGGTGATTTGGATCGGCAAAGACTTCTTGGGGAGAGGCCGCCGGCCGATCCGCTCGCGGATATTATGCTGAAACAAATGCAGCAAAAAGAAAGGTATAGTTGTTTTAGAAATTCATTTTAAACTAATACTAGACTGGAAAAATGATATCTTTATTGTGCTTCGAAACGTTCTTATATGTATGTAAATGTGAGACACTATGGCCGATATTCAGAGTCGTTACTTATATTTAAGGTCGTCTTAAGCATTTGCTATTTCTGAACCATTTCCAGTCCCTGTCTTGTACAGAAAACAGGAATTTAAGCAAATGTTTAAGGCGATCTTAAATATAAGTAACGACTCTGAATACCGCTCTACGTTTTGTTCAACGATATTGTACGGTTTACATTTTCCCGGTAAAACGATGAGTCGTCGGAGTCGGGAACAGAATTTCTCAGTTATCGGATGCAGATCCCCTTGGTACCGACAAGTGCTACACGTTTCATTCATCGAATATCGTGCCATTGACGTAGGGAAACGCTATTTCTGGAACACCGCGTAGTACGCTTGCGTACGCTCGTTTTATTTTCAGTATTTTTACTCAATTTCTCCATTGATTTAGGTCAGTCAAATTTTATTCAAGTCTACAATTCTGACTTAAATAACAAATTTACAGACTTCTATCGATTTCTGCGACAGCATAAATTGATTGACTTTTTATGTCCGTTCATAATTATTCCATTTACCTTTCGATTGCAATCAATATAATTCGTTCACCGTTCCTTTCTAGTATTGTCTAAACTGGGTGTTAATTTCAACTCGAGTACATAAATTATTTCCGCTACTATTGAAACTAGGAGAAAATTACTAAATATGATGCGCATTCTTTTTAAGGCTTTTAGCTTAAAATCATTTAAGGGTGACTCACGAATTCCGAACCGACTTGCATAAAAGATGTGGCACGTTTTTCGTATCTTTGTCTTTCATATTTCTCATGCGTCATCACTAGTTCGACTTGTATGTGTATTTTATATATGTGCTTGCGAAGTCAGTTTGGAATCTCTTGAGTTATTTGTGCATTCTACTTGTCATTTTTATGTTACTTTCAACAGTAGAAAAAATAATGTAAGTATTTGAGATGAAATTAACATCCTGTATACAGTCGCTCTTATTAATATTCGGACACACTTCGAAATAGAATAAATTTTTTAATTATTGAATCAAACAATTGGATTATACGAGGATATTCGCACGTTGCCTCGACGAATAGTAATTTTTACGTTGTTACACATTATATAGTAAACTGAGTCTTCTAATGTTCCACAGAAAATTAAATTGTTTCGTCTAATATTAAAGAAGTTGTTCCACTTTGTAAATACATATATAAATGTATAAATGAAGAGGATATACAAGACACTTCTACTTAATGTTAGCACTGGTTTTAATTAATGACCGAAATCTGTTCACGTGTTTTAAAATCGTATAAAAAACCGATGGAAAAGCGGAATTCATTCTATCTTGTTTGCTTTGACGCGAATTCGATGCTCACAGGTTTACGACCTCGCTGTCTGCGTCATTCGTATAATTCATGCGGCTTATCGTGATAGTGCGACAAATGAGATAAATGCGAAGTTCGCCGAAGAATCTCGGAACTGTTCCACACGGCGAAATCAGCTGGCCTGGAGTTTCGCAAGTTGGCAAAAACCAGGCTTTGGAATTCGAGCCTCTATTAAATTTCCCTCAATATAGATTTTTCCACCTACACACATGCTCTAAATTTCTAGATACATTCCTGTACGATTAAGTATTTTTGTAACACGTTTTTATACAACGTAATTTCCTTGTTTTTCTTATTTTTCAACTACGTTCTTTACACTTTGTCTATCAGCTGAGACGTCCTTGGCTAAAAGTTTCCAACTCCGACTACAATATTTCAAAGTTTGCACGTCAGCAGACTAGATACACACGAAGTTTGTTCTGTACAAGTCCACTAATGCTGGTAAACATTGCTTTCGGTATCTGTAAATAATGTAACATCTGGCACCATCAGCATTGATCTTTCATACGTTTCGCAAAAGATAATTGCGGCCGTCACTATTGTTCAATTTTCATCGTCTCTTCCATTCCGTTGTTTAATATTTACTTCCTCTCGCGACGAATGAACACGTTGACTGAGGAGCGTCATTACTCGGAGTGGTTCGAATCAGTCGTTTCGTTAAAAGATCGCCTTGAATCCGTTTCGGTCGAGGCCACGGTCGCGAAATCGTGAACGGGTATATAACATTTATAGTCGAACGTTTCTGCTCGCGATTGGACGCAATACGAGTTGCCTGTTTTATGGATGGGCGAGCCACGCTTTTCGGCTCTGTTCATTTCATAAAAAGAGACGCTCCTTCCTTCTTTACGTTCTTCGACGTTCCATGAAATTCACGGTCGTTCCATTTCTACGTATTACGAAGATCTCGAGAAATTGGCAGAATCGCGCTTTCTATTTCCGGCGGAAGGTGTTTACTCTCCGTATTAGATTCAATGAGAGACCTATTCATGTTTCACGATTAGATCCTCTGGCGTTAGGCTCGCGGTAATATATTCTTAGAAATCGAACAACGTCCTATTTTCGTTTGATCGAAATCGCGTGATTCGATACAATTGGATAGGAAATCGATGGGCAGTAAATCGTTTCTTACATTCGAAGAGCCGTACGTGTTTCTTCCTACGGAACATCATCGCTGTAGGAAATTTTCGTCGCAGTAAAATAGACGGCGATAAACACACCGCGAATTTTTATACAGAATGAAATATTTATAGTACCAGTTTAAAAAAAATCTGTTTTTTTTTTATAACAGTTTCTTTTAAATATTGCAATGCGCACTCTGTTTTTCATATTCTCTATATTTTTAAAAATCATATTTTTCGCACATTCGGTTTTCGATAAATTTTCTATTCACTATTCTTATTCACTAATCTTACATACTAGCTTACTCATTAATCTTACATACTGTCTGACTCACTAATCTTATGTACTATTTTACTCATTACTATCTGTATGTTGTACTTCGATTCTCATTCTGCTTACTTCTTAATAATTCTATGCTATACTATACTAATTTCCTATCACAGTAGGATATTAAAGCCTGCTCTCGTTACAATCTATAATCACTACTCGCTATCAGCCTATTTCTTTTTGTTTTCCCTGTTCACCTCCCACTCGTCCTAAATAACTTTCCTGATTTTCTTGCACTTATATCATACATCAAAATTTCCCCTATACTATATTCTAACTTTGAAGTCTATACATATACGTATTTTCCTATACTCCACGCATCGCTTCATTTTCTTAAATAAATAAGATTTGTACTTGTTCAACTCGTTGAAACGCAGAACACGACCTTTTGCCGAAACAAATTAGTAATTCTCGATTAATACTCTGTTATCTCAAAGTATTGGCATTCGACATTCATTTCTTATCAAGTTATGTCAGTGTTGCACCAATTTAAGTACCCATAAAATCACGGGACGTTTGAATATTCTCGCCGTTGATCGGTGCTGCATGTGGCAATCTAAAAGCCGAACCGAGCAGGCGCCGCACGGCGCGGCGGCGACGTGACGCAGCCGGCGGTGAGGCGCGCGCCCACGAAGACGCGAACCGACGCAGCGTCCCGACGTCGCGTCGTTCCTCGATTCCTACTACTACTCCCGTCTTCCTCGTTCGGCCGGTCTCAGTGCGTTGCGACTCGTCATGACGGCTCGTCGCGTCCCGATCCGTCGTTCTCTCTTCCAATCCGGGACTCGCTCGTAAACTTTGATTGCCTCTCACGAAATTCGTATATAAAAGTAGTTAGAGTTTCGAGTCGGTGGACCGATGATAGCAGCTAAGTTTCATCGATCGAACAGAGAGACGGACAATACAGGCGTCGGTCAGTGTTGAGAAGTTTTGATCCTCGAAGTTGTCTTCGTGCAGGGGCGCACATTTGGGAACGAAGCGTGGTCATTATCAGAATGGTCATGATTGACATGGTGGATGTGATCGAGGACGAGGACCGGTGCGTATCCAATCGTCTTTCTCTCTCGACACGTTTCGACAGTGATTTTTACATGGATCTGTAACTCGTATCCCTGTCAACTCGCGCGCTTCCGCGTTACGTAAATGTCCCCCCTATCTCGTGTGTTGATTTTTTGCTACTCGGACTTCGACCGACAGATTTTCCTGAACGATCGCCTGTTTCCAAGATCTTCGAACCGGGACTCTTCATTTCCACTTGGAGTTTTTCATTACGGAGGAATTTGATTTTTGGTCCAACGCCCAGTTCTGTTTTGCGCCAAGAAACTAATTCCTCTCTACGGACAGGGGATGGGTCCTCGTTGCCCAGTTCTCCCTTCGATAGAACCGGTCGATAGACGTTTCGACGACGGTTCCAATCCGCCTCGCGCTTTCACGCTCAAGTCTCTGTTCTTAATCTACGATCGTGGGAGGAAAATCGTATCTACCGAGAGGATGAGAATGGAAAACGGTCTGACGAACGCGTGCGATCTTACAATACGTTCCATCTTGCACATCATTTTCAATTATCCATTTAATTACACCTCGCGATCCATTAGGCTGTTCTTAAATGTTATACAATGCGTTTGATGAAACGAGGGGAGTCGGAAAATTGCATGTTACATTTGCTAATGCGTCACTCTTTCTTTCGAGTGGACGTGGGCGAACAATAATAAACGTCGCGTTTCCGTGAGAAGACGGCGCGGAGCCGCGAGGACAATAGCGAGTAACAATGATGTGCATAGCCAGCCGGGCAGCCGCGTTCGCAGTAGTACGCTTTCGTCTATAGTCAGACGTGGCGTTGGAAACGAGCCTCGTTACCCGCGTCGCCGTTTTTAATAATTAAAAAATATGTATTTCTTGCTTGGCCAAGTGCGTGATTCAGCCTTGAATAGAAAAACCTGTCGTAGGAAGAGAGTTAGAAGCGCGACGGGGGAAAGTCGATAAATACCGTGGCTCGAAGTTGGTTTCTCGGCATCGCGGCGAGGAGTTCGCCGACTAAAATCAGCTTGTTTGGATCAGCCGCGTTCAATCGTGCGGCCTGACTCGATTAATGACGTTAGGCGTAACGCTTCGCGAACGCCGCGCACGTGAAGCGTGTGCTCATTGATTTTAGCCCGAATGGAATATTCATGGACGCGTCCACGCGCGATGCTCGCCGCCGCGACGCCTCTCGCGGTTACACGAAACTCCCAACGCGAAATTCTATTGTAAACAAATATTAAACAAAATGTTGGCACTCGGCGCGCGGGACTTTCCACAATTCTTATCGAGAACGACGATATCGAATCTCAAGCCCGATCATCGATTTTGCGAAACGAGATAATAAACAATTCTTTTTATAAAAACTACAATACGGTTGACGATTTTTGTCGTAACATTCAGAATTGAAGTAGATAATTTTCTATTGTGACCGAGTAGAATTGCATCATCGTACAATTAATTCCGGTTGCGAAATTCTTATCAAAGGAATCGCGTCGAAATTAATGCAGATTACGATGATTGACATTACGACGCTGGTACGTCGTGGTTCGCGTGTTTGCACGGAACCGCATGCTCTCATCGCCGCGATTAAAGGCTACGTGATGGACAGTCGTGACACGAATCAGTTGCTCCTCGTATACTTTTATCTCCCGCGATCTATAACGAGTTATTCAATTTTCACTTTTCAATATGTACGTCGAGCTTTCGAGCGATTGGGAGATAACGTTGGAATAATTATTCTGTTGCAGGTACGAGAGGCTCCTTAGAAGAGCGAAGACGGAGGATCTGTCTGAAGTTTCGGGAATTGGATGCCTATACCAAAGCGGAGTGGATCGCCAGGGTCGGCCGGTGGTCGTGTTCGTCGGGAAATGGTTCCCTGCTACTAAAATCAATCTGGACAAGGTGAGATTAAAATTTATCGAGTTCCCGAGACGAGCTCCGTTAAATTGAATCCGCCCCGATAAACTCTCCTCCAAACGTCGCCCCCGCTTCCTCCAACTCCATTTCCTTCGGTTTCAAACGTAGCTTCCGATTATCTCCGCTTTAAACACAAATTAAAAATTGAAGAATGAATAATTGTTTTCACAATTTCTTGTGAAATTATTCATTCGTTTGCAAAATGCTTCGAGCTTTTTTTTTATAATGTATATTAACGCAACCGTGTGAATTGATAAGACAGTAACGTAATATGTAAAAAAGAATTGGGGGAGTGAAAAACATGAATCATCCATTTTCTAACTTGCTATTCAAGAAATTATCGTCGCTTCCAATTATAATATCTACGCTTCCAAGACAAATTAGAAATGGAACAATGAATAATTCTTTTCATACTATCTGGCGAAATTATCTACTCCTTTTCAAAAACTTGTGAATTATGTTAAAAAGGCAATTCGAGTTGATAAGACAGTAGTATTTAAAAGTTAAAATAATATCAAGGACACTATTTAAGACATATTACACACAATAAGAACTACGCAAAAGAAAGAAATGTATAACTTATAGACAATGTGGAAGGTTGTGAGTCAGGTACAATCCTATCAAAAAGTAGCAAAACTATATATTAAAATATTAGAAATTACAAAAGTTCCCTGTGACTTAAAAAAAGCACGTCGACCAATTTTATAAACTTTACTTCTCTGTAAATATAATTTTTCCTACAAGTTTACTTCAAATATTGGACATAGCTTATTATTATTGAACTTCTCAAACTTTTGCCAGATATATTACGGTTCATACAATTTTAGGTATGGAAGTAATATAGTCCAGATACTCATCTTTTGTAAGTTTTTATTTTTATAATACTTGACGCTATTATTATTTCCCAAATGAATATAATATATATATATATACATATACATGTAAAATATATATAATCCAGTAGATTTCCCAGTGCGCCGAGAGCAATCAACCCTTGATCACGTGCTGCCGGTTGAAAATTTTCACCCTCGTCCTTAGGCCGCCCTCGGCGGGGGCACGTGAACCAGCGGGTATCGCCTCGTGACTTGCGAAAACGTAGTAGCAAACACGATCGCGTAATGGAACATAGTTGCGAGTCGGACTGTAAAGCGTGGCGAACGGCATAAAATCAATACGCGCCGGGCGTACCCGTGTTAGCCTCGCCTTTTATTATGGACTACTAGCATGTTTAGCAGTTCTTTGCAAGCTGATCGATCCGTTTAGCATAGCTCGACGCCGGGAGAAAATTGCATGGACACCTTTTCCGCGAAGTAGTCGGCTCTATTTAGAAAATCATGAACCTCGTTTCAAAGACGATAAAAGAGTCCCGTGTGATACTCCTACAAAAGGGTAATCAATGAGTACCGCGAAAGAACGAAGGGTGACTTTAATTCTAACACTGACAAACAGTTCTTGTACAGTAATATACTACATTTATTGGTTTTCCACGAAAGTAATTTCAGTTTTCACAAATACGTAAAATCTTTTTACAACATAAGTTAATGTATTTTTAATAATTTATAACTCTGCAACGGTTAATTATATAATTTCGAAACAAATATTTTATAAGAGTATTTGATGCTCGTGGAGTACAAAAGAGCCAAGCTGAAGAGAGAATACGATGAAGGCAGGCATGTTCATTTGCAAGGCGAAGTGGCGAGCCAATGGCCGATTTCGAATTATTCATCGAATCGATCGAATGTTTATTCGGTACGTCGCCTATTCCACGTTCCTACCAAATCTTCCATGTTAAAACTGTTCCGTCGCTTTTACCATGAGTCTTCGATTTTGCCCTTCAGATAAATCACCATGCATCACCTATCTTTCGATACTCGTGACGAGATTTAAAGTCGAACGTGATCTGCGAAAGTTCAAGTTTAATTTGTGGCAAACCATATGCAGTTCGATTTATAGAAGTGTCTTTTTTTTAACTTTTTTTTGTACTATCCTCTACGGTCGTACCATTAATACTTGAACACCCTATATGTCACCCCTTTTTCTCGAACTCAATTCGCGACGTCTTAGCGACCAGATAAGCCGGACTCGCGGCTATCTCGTCACTCCCGCGTTTGTCACCGTTGCTCCCTGGACTCCCACGCGACATTTCCATTCCCGTCTCTCCCGTCGGCGAGACGAGGCGTAGCCCAGAGCCTAGCCGGCTCGAATCGATATTTACACGTCCAGAAATAGACCGACCACGGGGGAACAACTCCCCGGAGGACGCGCACCGCTGCGGCTGTTGTCGCGGGCCTGCCCTGGAAAAAAGTTTGTTTTCACCCCTGCGCACGTGAGCCTCTTTAACGTCGCGAGTGGACGACGGGTTTTAAGGAGAACGCGAGCCGGAGCCGGGAATAGCCACGGCCGATCGAAACGGTAAACGGCCTCGCCCTGATCAACCCTTTTTCTTCCCTCGTTCGTTGATCAACCACATCTCTTCAGCCCTGTCTCACAATACCTCTTATCTCCTTGTAGAAGTGAAAAAATGCATTAAAAATTTTATCCAGACGATTAATTAACTTCGATACAATTTTTAACATTTTTTTTTCACATCGAAGCTTTTTAAAGTTACGATAAAAAATTCTACGCACAGGCGTATAAAATTGTATATTCCCGCGGTGAATTATGCGAGGATCGAAGACAGCATCAGTTTGCCACGTTCCCGTGACAGATAATGCACTAAGAAAATGTATGTATCTCCTTTTTTCGTCTCGCGTTCTTCAATATACATATATGTATACATATATGTATGTAGAGTGCCGTTGAAGAAGGCGAGACGAAAGAAGTCGCGAGTCCCCTCGTTCTTTCCGAATGTAGGTCGCTGTCCGAGATTCAAGGACGTACTCGATCATTCTCCCCGTTACCTCACCGAACCAATTTCAGGTCACACGTTTTATCAGCCAGTGAAAAGGATATCCTTAACCACCCCCGATCACCGCCGGTCCCGTTCCATATAATTCTGCAGTCTTGACGTTTAAGGTATCGACAACTCTTCCACGTTATTTGGAGCAGTTCATTTCGTAGGACGTCATACAGATTTTTCATTTCGTCGGTCCATTTACAGTTTGTATTGCCAATAAATCATAGTAGCCGAAATGATTCGATCTTGTAGGAATTAAAACGTCGAGTCAATCAAAGGGATAATAATTACATTTATGATTGTATGAGTTCTTTTTATAAAAACAATCACAAAGCTATAATATAATTCAAGATGTAATAACTTTGTTAATAGCCTTGCAAAATTTTTATACTTCTGCACAGTGTTTTATTAATATCTAACAACTGTTAAAGTTTGATTACTTTCTTACTGTTTTTCTGGTTCATACAACTTTAAGTTAGTAACAATTTTATAAACTCTGCTTCTGTAAATATTTTTCCTAAAAGTTTATCGCTTCAAATATTGGACGTAACTCTTTATCACGTTTCTTAAACTTTTGCCAGAGATCTTACTGCTCAGACAACCTTAACGCACCACAATAATGCATATTTTATGCTTATTTGCTTGCATTATAACGCGTCTATACGTACGTAGAATAATAATGTCTCATAGTAGTCGGTGTATAAATTCTGCAATTAATTGAGCTAATTTGAATGAATTACCCTATCGATTCTGATTTTTAATTTAAATGCATAATCTATTAAATTCATATCGCAACTCTAATTACACTTCAAGCGTGAACCAGTTTTACTATTCTTAACACCTTCACTACCTTCACTTAACACCTTTGTTAATTATTCGTATAAAAAAGTGATTTATAAAATTCAAATGGATTGTCGAAGGTCATAGTTCATTGGAATTTTATCGAATCTGAACGCGGAAAGAACCTCGAAGAAGATACGCAATGAATGCCAAAAGGAGTCTATACCTATCGCGTACTTATTTACGCGATGCAACGTCTAATTTTACATTCGGCCGCCTCGAGAAGGAAACCGGATAAAAATTACATCCGCGTCGTAGACGGCGCCAAAAATACTTTCAATACGCTTGTATACTTTATAGAGGGAGGATCGTGCGAATGGGATGATAAATCTCCTCAGTATCTATATATCGTTGAATTTATATTTTATTATCTGTCCAAACTTTTCTCACTCGATGTAAAACGTTATTCGTGCTCATAAAGTGAAAGAGAGCGGGGGAGGGCTTAGTGCACGAATGCTAATTGAACGCGGTGCCGAGATAATGAAAATTCAGGGTCGCGATATATACAGCAAGCGTATTTCAAAAGCTCGTCGCCTGTACTTAATTTTATACCATCGTTAAATTGTCGATGTTTAAAGCTGATATTTTCGAAAGTTTATGTTCTTACTTATCGCCTTTGACGTGGGTTCCTGATCATTTTTCGTCTAACTTCAGTATTTAACGAGTTAAATATGATTAATCGGCATTTTATAGGTGCTGAAAAAATCCGACCGTCTCACCGTCGAAACAGCCAACTTTTGGCAAAAAATTTCGTTTTTTGCCCATAACTTCCAAACGGATGGACTTAGGGGGGCATGTATAGAACCATTTTGTAGAGGACGACGAGATCTACAATTTCCATGTAAAAATTCTTCGCTAGCATCAATAGTTATTGAGTTATTTGCAAAAAACTGTTTTTTCGTTTTTCGTCAATAACTCGTAAACTATTAATGATAGCGAAACATTTTTACATGGAAATTGTAGATCTCGTCGTCCTCTACAAGAAAGGTCCTATGCAATTTTCCCGTATCTCCAACGGTTTAGAAGTTATTGGCCAAAAACGAAAATTTCACAAAATTTGAAGGGGTACCCCTTTGGAAAAATCTCGGAAAAATTGAAAAAATTTTTTTTGTCAAAATTTCGAAAAATGCTTTGAACAAAAGTTGTAGGTATTACTATTACCTACAAAAAAAGTCGTATACAATTTTATTCTCCAATATTTTGAGCAATAATTTCGTGAGAATGAATTTGATTCCTCAGTAAAATAAAACTCGATGCTCGCGTTCAAAAAGTGTTTCCAAGAATAGATTGGCCATACATCCAAAGAAAAATATGGCTGGAGATTACTGTACTAAACATTTCATAGAATTGATTGTGCAAGCGGACTTCTCCTTATCCATTATACTTCCAATTGCCCGATACTCGCACAGTTTCTTTATCTATTACAATTTAGCGCAATACAGCTAAAAATTGTCCGTCGACTTTGAAATTATGACACGCAGTATATTATGTTCACGCTCATTGCATCATCGCTCGCGATATACGAGTTTACGTCAAACAGGGCATGTCCGTATTTCTCCAAACGGGAGTAACGAAATCGCGATGCGTCATCGACTTCTAAGAACCGAGTGTTAGAAAATATTATTTATATATATTTAGTATTAGAAAATACGAAGTTTAAAGTGGGGGCGACTGCACCCATCGATGCAAGTCTTCTTAATGGTACACGGACATAGGTACGAAGCACCATAAAAAAAAACAGCGCGAAAATCATATTGGGAGAGCCTAGCTCAACTAAAACGTGTGACTTGGGAGTCACTCTTCGTGTAGACGTCTTAACGGCCACGTATTTATTTAATCCTTACAGGGAAAATACACGTCGATCTTCACCGATTTAGATTAACGGACCTCTATTCTTCCCGCGATCTCATTCGCTTACACTTGCGTCTCCGTATGAAAGCGCGGCTTAAACAGATCTCGTGCTGACGATGCTAAACTATCTAAACTCGACCTCGATTGAAAATTGAACGAACTGTTTTGTACGTCCGCTAGATGCTTCGATCGCTATCTCTCCTATTTGTTAATCGTTCGGCGTGAATTTCTAACTATACGCGTTATAATTCATAACTGTAATCAAAATGTAAAACGCGAGGCGTCGTAATGACTAGATTCCGGTTCACAGGCCAATAAAGCCGACGTCGATGATGAGCGATGATTAAACCGAACACCGCGGAAATTGTACCATTCGCAAACTCGCTGCCACAATCTCGTTTCCGGTTCCCTTGGCAAGCTCGCAAATAAAATCGAAATGCTGACTGTGCTGATTAACCCTGGCAACAGTTCGCTTTTTACATCGATCCTGTAAAAAATTCCCTCAACTTGCTCATAATAATAATAATGCATACTTGCATATAATAATAATAATGCATACTTGCATATAATAATTGTTCCAACTCAATGTCTGTACAATGTTCATAGGGTATAACATTAAAGAGCGAGTTTTGTCTTGTAATAACAATTTATTCACTACATAAAGAGACCATTTAGGAAACGAGATTCGACCATTATAGTTGACACGTAGTCGAAAACTAATCAATGATTAAAACATACGTCTCGTCGTTTAGACGTTCTGACGTAATCGGTGACGTCGACGCTGCACGACAGCAGGAGAGGAAGAAGAGTTCAGAGGGTTGTTGATGGAAACCGAAGCGAACTTCAATTCGATATGACATCTGCCGTGTAGAACGCGTTTGTCCCCGTTTCCCTTTTCACTGCGAACTTTCGCAGCCGCCCAACCCTTTGCAGCTTTCGGTCGCTCAAAGACCTTCGACCTGGTTCCCACGATCCTCGGTGGTGTCGGGCAAACGCGAGTAATAATCCGCGTGGAAGCTTAGCTGGCGCCTATCTAATAAAATGCAATGACGAGTGACGCTCCACTGGTATCAAAGAAATTCGGGTTTGTCAGCGTTTCACAGTGAAGTGTTTGCTCTCACTCTGAAAGGGGTTTAATTCCGATTTTAGCAATAGGTAGACTTTTGGTTTTTCTTTACATTGTTCTGCTTTTCACTCTGTTCCGGTGGCGTACCATAAATTTTCCGACTGCATTGTTCAAATGGAGAACAATACACGCAAACTATGCAACAGATAATTCATTTCTGATTAATCGGTCGCCTATAAATAATATACATATGAAAATTTATGAGTATACTGCGGGCTTTTATGCACAATAAAATATTTATGATGTCGGATTAAAAAGTCTATTCATAAGAGACGAGTTTGAGAGAAGAAAATTATTTGTTTCAGGCGTTGTTATATCTGATACAATTGCTGGATCCGATCGTAAAAGGGGACTACGTTATCGCTTATTTCCACACGCTAACGACTAGCAACAATTATCCCAGCTTGCATTGGTTGCGCGAAGTTTACAACGTGCTTCCTTACAAGTAAGACTTTTCATATAAATCTGCGGTCTCAATTTTTACATAATTATTGCAAACAGAAATACACGTCCATCTACTTGTGCCTGAAATTAGTAGAATTTCTATAAATATTGGGTTGGCGAAAAGTAATTTCTGTTTTCACAAACACAGAATATCGTAAAAACTGAAATTACTTTCTTGCCAACCCATTAGTTACACATAAGTATTGTTTAATTTATTATATACTAATTGAAATACTTTTGTTACAGGTATAAGAAGAACCTAAAACACTTCTACATTGTCCATCCTACTTTTTGGACCAAGGTTTGTACAATTCGTAAATTTGAATTAAGCTCGAGGGAGCGAATTTTAAAACGCAAATGTCTATTAATCGCGTTTCCCACGTGCGTGGTTCTATGCTAATAACGCGATCATATCGAACCTCCTGACCTTCCGGTAGCCACTCGAGGTGAACCTGTTTTCGCGTTACTATTTGTAAATCCGTGGGCAAGGCCAATCGTTATCTCGTGAACTGGATCTGGCGTTGTTAGCAGAAACGTTTGAGGGAACCGCGAACGAAGTACGGCGTCGATCGAGCAGAAGAAAATAATTGGACCCTTCTGTTTCTCGTTCCGCATTCTCTTTCGCAAATTACAATAAACCTAAGTTCGTTCGACATAAGCGATAAGCGTTAAAAATTGATTTATCATTGGGATTGCCGCAGATGGTGACGTGGTGGTTCACGACGTTCATGGCCCCAGCTATAAAACAAAAGGTTCACAATCTACCTGGCGTGGAATACCTCTACGAAGTGATGTCCCCCAATCAGCTAGAGATCCCGGCTTACATTACGGAGTACGACATGACGGTGAGCATTTCTTTTTCTATAATACTAGGTAATATACATATACAATTATAAGAAGGTAATAATAATAATAATAATAATAATAATAATAATAATATGTATATTGGCTTGTCCGGAAAGTTTGTCGATTTTCGGCAGGCATAATAATAATTTATACATTGCACTATAATAATTTCTTTAATCCTACTGGTGAAGCATAAGTAATATATTTTTTGTACGTTTATGCTTATGTTATTTATATCTTAAAGTGCAGATGGAATAATTTCCAATTTTTTTTAAATACAAACATTTCGCGCCTACCAATCTTAAACATTGCAATTCGGATTTTGTATTTCCTACATTTCTTTGCATCACGTGCAACGTTCACATGTGCAGTACGGTGAATCATTTTATAAATACATAAAATCCGTAGTCCAATGATAAGAGAGCCCTTATTATAATTTTTCAATATGCACTAAAAGATAAGATCTTTTTTGAAAAAACGAGACTATATCTGCGATGATTTCAGATAAACGGCTTGAGGTATTACCAACCGGATACGACGGTGCCCTCGTCACCGTCAACGTCGACGTAACTCTGCGAGGTGGCCTCCCGTCCGGCGAAGCATCGGACAAAAGGAAGCAGTCGGATCATCCGTTCCGCTCGATAATACGGTGTCCGTTGTGTGACGCGCGTTTGCATCAGCACCGACCATCGTGCTCGCGAGCTTCCCGGGGGGGTATCCTGTCGCCGTCGATTCTGGAAGATCCTGTCGGAAATGCACGGTTCCTCGGGGAGTGGCGAACAAGTGCCTGGCGACCAGAGCACGAAAGGACGGTCCGTACCGCAACGTGCAGATCGCAAATTGTTCCTGGAATCGGTCGCTGAGCGAAGTCAAGAAACCACTGCCCACCTGTTTGTTTCTGCGCGTACCGAGGACAGAATGGAGATAAATAATCCCGGAGAGTGACACCAAGAACGGGAAGAGGAGAAATGGTTATTCGCTGCGCGGATATCGGCTGCCAAAACACCAATAATCAGTATTCTCGTCGTCGTTACGATCGTACGTGGGAATCTTGTTGTTCTTATAAAATAGTTAGCCGACGTACGGTTGCGGAGTGAGAGGCGGGACAGGTGCGTTGAGAAAAGAGGGAAAGGCTGGCGTCGACGAGAAATCTTATGCTCGGTTTTAACGACGGCTTAATACGAGGACTGTCGACCGCTTTTCTGTTATTTTCTTATCCGTCGTTGTATGTACAATGCGAGGAGCGTCTATTCGATTATTATACATCGTATTTTATTATGTCGCGGACGCCGGTTCGCGGTATTTTCGATATAAACGGTGATTTTTTTTAAACGAAAGAGTGTTATATAAAAAGCAAGATATAATATATATATATATATAAAAAAAAAAAAATTAAGAAATGAAGTTCTATGTAATAACGTTACAATCTCTCGGCTACAAGATGCAAGCAAAGCTGCTGGTTCCTACGGCTTTGGTATTCATCGTCTTACAGCGTCACCATTCCGAATTCATCGGTGATGAATCCACTCGGTGTCGATCGAGACTCGTTAATAATAATAATAATCGCTTTGCAACGTTCCGCTAGAAAAGAGCAAACGGCGACGACACCTGTCCGTTCATCACCGACGCGAGGGATGGTCCGAGAATTGCCGAGATCGTGACTCGCGGTTCAATTCTAGATTAGATAAAGCAATAAACTCTAAGAGCTTCTCCGCGACCTGCGTACATACATACGCGGTAGCGCACGCGTGTATGCGCGCAAACGTCGTGGAACTGAAATCGTTATACTCGTTGTTAAGCATTTTTAAACACTCGAAGAGACGATAGAAAGTGTTGACGCGTTCGAAAACCGCAGTCCATTAACCCATTCCTTTCCCATTGGGCGTTCTTCGAAATTCTCGATTCAGTGTTACAAACGATTCTAGTTGTGACTTGGAACGAGTTATCGAAGAACGCGAGGAATGCGTCAATGGTGCGTACTTCCGAGTCAAAAAATGTGTATCCACGTTGTGTAATTTTACATTATTACCGACTCCGACGTAGTCCGAGTATGCTTGATCGTTGAGATACTTTTTTATTACTTTTTATTGCGTTGGTGATGTTCATTGACATTTTAGGATTAGCGTTTAGCGTAGCGTTTCGTTAAAACATGGAAAGAGATGAAAGTGAGAGGATCGCGTTAATTCAAATGAGAAATCGATTGCTTCTTCTGCTGTGTCAAAGATCGTTTCATCCATAATATTCATTCCACATAATTTTGCGTTATCGGGCACTGGTATGTACGAAATTTTACCATGATCTCGAATAATCTCGTTTCTCTTTAAACCGTTGATATTGTATAATTCGTTAAAAGTACTGGAATGAAATACTAGGGTTGAAAACCTTTAAGTCACTTACTATGGTCAATTGAAGACCTTTCTTACGTTGAACGACCTGAGTGTCCGTCCCTGACAATCGTTTATAGTAAGTAACCATGTGTCGCGCAACATGCGTCCTCGTCGGAAGTCTCCTCGACGCCGCAGAAAACGTCGAACAGGATTTAGACGACCGAGCGTCGCTTTTCTGCTGAACAAAGGGAGAATCGATCGGATATAGCGAATGTTTCAGGCGAGACAAGGATTCGTGACAATATGTAATATTATCGCGTGCTTAAAAGGTGTGGTAGCAGAAAATTACAGAGAGTCTAAAGTCCCGATCTAGCCGATTGAACATGAAAATTTCGTTTGAAGAATTTCTGGGAAAAGATAAATTAGCTATATTGGGACTAGAGGTTCTCGGGCATTAGGCTTCGCGCTTAGAATGTAATCTAAGGCTTGATAAAACCGAATCGAAACCACTGTTCCCTCGCTTTTAGGATCCGCGAAACTGGAGAACGATCGATCGAAAGTGTGAAGCTTAACGACACACAGTGTGTTCGACTCACCTGGTGCTGCTATTCGCCCCTAGAATCCTGAGATACGCGTTTAATTTCCGAAAGTTCCTCACGCGGAACTGTTCAAAAACTTTGTTTACTTTTTACGTACAGAGTAGACTGCAGTGAATGATATGTGAGCGCGATGGGAAAATTCGGAAAATGCACGCGTAGCGTTGTATGTATACGGTAAACGGATTAAATAAATTGTAATTGTTGTCGCGATTGTAATAGATTCTAATGTTGTAACGTCGGGATATATTTTTCTCTCGGTGCCGATGACGCACGGTCTCTATCAGGTGCACACACACACTCACACACACACATGCATCTCTTTTGTCTGTTTTTTTTTTTGTAGATTCAGCAATAAACGTATCATTTCAACTAAAAATCGTAATGTTTTTGGTGGTCGAAATCAATATTACCCTTCCTTCCTACTGTCATTGTTAGTCTGATGTCTTTATTATTTACAGGTTTATATATAGAAAATTTATTTATAGAAATATTTAAATTATTTAATAATTTATTTTAATTATTTAATTTACTTACAGAACTATTTCTTATGAATCGTAATTGTTGTCCCGATGATAATAGAGTCTAATGTTCTAACATCGAGGTCCATTTTTCTCTCGGTGCCAATGACGTACTTCTAACAGGTGTGCGGGCACATACACACACACATCTTTTCTGTCCGTTTCTTTTATAGCCCAAGCAAGAAACGTATTGTTTCAATAAAAATTTATAGAGTAATTTGAAAGATGTCATGTCATTGGTAAAGAATAGGTCATAATCTACGATTGGGACTGAAAAAATATATTGAAACATATAAATAACAGAGAAATACACTATGTGTATATGTATACTACGTGCAATTGACAAAATGAATACTATCTATGGATCACAATTTCATAAAGTATTTATTATAAAGTGATAATTATCACGGTCATTTATTCATGAGTTTGGTTTACTATGCACATTTGTTTCCTTCATAAAAGAGCGAATAAAAAATTTGACCCAAGATAGGTCGATGTACAGTCTTCGTACAGAGGACTGACATATATCTCTTGTGAATATATGTAGCTCATTCGTTGATGAATATCAGTGTGTATGGAATCCCCACCGTGAAAACCCAAGCAAAGAGGATATAAACGGACGAGGCCCTATTCCTGTAGTTCAGTAGATTAGCAGGTGTTGTAAAACAACGATACTCTGACGATTTCGATTGGAGTATACCTTGATTGACAGTGACCAGAGTAAGTACAGTACAGGACAGTAAAACTATTATGAAAATGTTAAAATGATACTGAATCTTAAATAAAATATCCTAGTTTCTGAGAAATTCATAAGGAATAATGTACAAGAATTTGTTTATATCTTTTTTATATTTCTGATATCAAGGGGCGCGGTAACGGCCCGAAGGCAAATTTGAGGTCATAATGTACACCTGTTCCCCTCACATTAATATATTTTATTCTTAAGTATAATGTTTTAACTAAATAGCATTGGTATCGTGTTACTTCGAAACATAATCCATATAATTATTATGACCAAACTCCTTATGCAATCTGTAGTAAACTCTAAGTTATGGACTTCGTATCGATGATTTACGTTCGTCGCCATTAGTCCTTTCTAAGTCCGTTTCAACATCAAGTGATTAAAGTTTAAAAATACAGTTTAACGTGTATACAAAGAGTAAGATTTTTAACAAGGTCTTCATGGCTATGACTATTCTAATAATTTTTTAACGACTAATGACTCTTTAACGAAACACCAAGCAGTTTATACCAATCGAGATTTTATTTACAGATAATGATAGTGTATGCACTGATTCCCTACATTCCTCAACGTTGATAGGTACTACGTTGTCATTATCGTAACGTGAATTAAACTTATTAAATTACTTTGATTATTAATATCCACAAATATTATTTATGTTATGTGTATACGGTTAGTTTTACTACGAAGGAACGATGGAATTTTTGGGCATAAAGTTCGCCCCGTTAAACGTTCCGCTGAAGCGAAGACTGGAAACACTCGCTGTAGCAATATGGGTGATATTCATCGCTTTCGGAGATTTTTGGGCGAGTCTTTTTACAGTATACGCAATCTTTTACTCTCCCACGTTACGTTTCTTCATGCCACTCTACTATCTTTGGATGTATTACGACTGTAATGCGCGTAACACAGGTAGCAGGTAGAATGCTTTTACACGCTTATCGCGTTAGGGTCATGCAAAATTTAGACTACCAAGAAGTCAATGAAGGAACCAATTCAATTTCCTGGTTTTAGTATGCGGTGGGTAAGACTGTTTAGGAACTGCACATGGATGCGTTACTTAAGCAACTACTTCCCTGTAAAAGTGGTGAAGACTACTGACATGGACCCAAGTAGGAACTATTTGTTTGTCAGTTTCCCGCATGGGATTTTATGCTTCGGGATTTTGGCAGCTGTCCACAGTTCAAACCACACAGGCCAAAATAAGTTGTTTTCCAGCCTAGAAATCCGTCTCGTGAGTCTTGATCTCCATTTCAAGATGCCCTTCTTTCGCGAAGTCGTTTCTCTAATGGGTACGTATGTTCCCAAACGAATATTTGTAAACGGTGTTTATTAAACACCAACAGAGAAGTACGACAAAATGTAGTAAATGTCAGAATTCCTGTTCACGTTACAATTTTTATTCACGTCATAATTTCTATTCACTGCCTTTTTATTCTATAACTAAATAAACCGCAAGATTTCTGTTAACAATTTTAAGTAATGTAATAAAAAGCTGTGTCCGACATTTGATGCGACAAAGTTTTAAGAATTGTCATATTTACAGAGACGTAAAGTTATTAATGAAAAATGTTTAGAAATTTTTAGCGCATGATCTCTGATATTTTAATATACTATGTATAGTCTTGACAATTTTTTATAGAATTGAACCTGACTACATACAGAGTGTCCCAGAATTAGTGTTAGGCCTGGAAATGGGGGGGAGCTGAACGTGAATTAAATGTAATAATAATTACTAAACGTACGTAAAAGTAATTTGAATGCTTTGTTGTTTTTTTTATTCAAGTCTGTGAGTAGAATTTGTGACGTGAATACAAACTGAGACATTTACTACACATGTCCTTCTGTTTGCATCTTGATATTAAATGAACGAAAACGCAGGCTTTATCGGCAGTGACGCGGAAAGTATAAGCTATCAGCTGTCGACGAAGCCCGAGCAGGGATACACCGGAAAGGTGACGATTTTGGTACCCGGTGGTGCCGCGGAATCACTTGAATGTCGGCCGAATACCTATCGTATCATAGTAAAAAGGAGGAAAGGATTTGTGAGGCTCGCATTGATGCACGGGTCAGAATCATTATAATAATTTCTTACAATCGTATGGAGAATATAGATTTTATTGACGTTCCAGAACTCCATTGGTGCCTGTCTTCTCCTTTGGGGAAACGAATACTTATGATCAGGTTTATGGGCCGGAGGGGTCGCTCTTCCGAAGAGTACAAGACTATATTCGGAGTTTAATTTCACTTGCACCTGTGGTTCTAAAAGGCCGGGGATTTTTCCAATACAATTTCGGCATCTTACCTCGGCGGACGCCAATAACGGTAGTTGGTACGAATTTAAACTAACTATTATATCGAGCAACAGAATACTTTTTTGCAATATCCACCACTTATAGAGTACCTAATGCAAATAAGGAATTCGAAATTGAAAAGACTCTATCACGTACCGTCTCCGACAAATCAAATGATTTTTATTAATTAAATGCGTAAATTATTCTTTCTAGTGGGCAGTCCTATAGAATTACCAAAGATAGAGGAACCGACGAAAGAGCAAATTAACGAGTACCATGAAAAATTCATCAAGGAATTAGTGAACCTGTTCGAGACGAATAAACACAAGTATATCGAGAACGCTGATTCGGTGAAACTGGAATTGTTATCTTGATAAAAAAACATGGAACATTTGATAAATATCTTCAATAGAAAAATAAATAAATAATATAAAAATAATACTATTA